GACTTTTGATTTCTGGCTAGAAGCGAATAGGAACCAAACCGGTTGACAAAGAAAGGGGTGTCATTAGTTGCATGATTGGTATACTCGGTAAAGAGATTGATGAACTGTGGTGATTCACTAAATTGATATTTGATTGTTGGCGTTCTAAAGATGATTCATTTCGAGTCCGGAGTTATTAATTTGAGAAGTTGTAGCTATGCATTTATGTGAGATGTGTGAGGACCTGAACTAAAATTCCACGTACTTGTTACTATCCATCCATGTGCTTCTAGTCCTAAGTTGCTTGGGGACAAGCAACGGTTTAAGTTTGGGGAGATTTGATAGGTCAAAAATTGTGCGCGTTTTATATATCTAATAGTGTATTTTTATACACACAATTTATTCGCACATTTATATTTTTTTGGCTTATTTATTATTTGGATGGATACATACACATTGATATTTTTGTATTTATTTTCAGCTCATTAGAGTATTTTATGGACGCAAAGCATGAGACGAAAGTTCACGTGATCAATTATCGCCTCTGCTGATATCAGCTTGAATTTCAATAAAATTCCAGGCCCAACGTTGATTATTAACCCACTCTGGGCCCAAAATCTCAACCCAAGTTTAGGACATTTACAAAAAGAAAAGCAGCCAGGATTTTTGTTGGGGGTAATTAATTGTTTGGAAAGACAATTGAGGGAATTTCTTTTTGGCAAGAGATTAATCGAAGAGTTCGAATTTCTTGGGAGACTGGGACATTTTTTGGTGGACTTATTTGCTGGGGGACTGACAGACGCGAGGGAGAGCAGAAAAAGAAAAGAACAGAGCCGCACGAGCAGCGAGAAGGAAAGAAGAACGCATAGAAGAAGAAAATATCACACGCGGAGGGAAGCCACATCCGTACACGAGGGAGATACTTTTATCTTCTCTCAGTTATATTTTATTGAGTATTTATTTTTACTAGTATGTTAGGTTAATATTTTTATCCAGTTTTAGGGGATGTTTGAACCCTAACTTCGATTTGTCTATGAATTGAAGGATCTTTGTTTATCGTTGATTAATCTAGACGCCGTATTTATTTTTGTTGATGAGTTGATTCATGTTATCTGTGTGTAGTGTTTACAAATTATGGTGTTTGATTTAGTTTGGCCAACTACGTTGAATTTCCATGATTTAATTGCTAGATTCGAGTCTTTAATCCGTAATTGTTATTGTTTTGTTTCGTTAGTAGTAAACTAGGGGTCGTGCATCCTTAGGGTAGCATGAACATAAGTTAAATGGTCCGAGTTTATGCGTCCAGTGCTTAGACTGGTCTATTTTCCTATATATTAATGCTGCTAGTGGATTAAATTTAGAGAGCTTATTCTAGGTTGTCCATTAGTTAGGTTTAGTCGAAGAGCCTATTTCGATTAAATATTCAGTAAGGGAAAATTCGGTTAACAGAGCCTTTTGTTAGATAGGGTCGGTAATTCATTAGCAATTTAAAGAAAGCGTCGAAATTGATTAACGGTAGATTTAGATTGGGTGATAACTGAACCGAAAACTGGACTTCTCTTATTTGATTTGATTTTTTTTTTATTTATTTATTTTTATTTTTATAAAATCAATCCCCCCATCTTTATTTGCTTTCTTAGTTTAGTTCAATTGATACGAAAATTGTCACGACTTAGTTCCTACTCCTCGTGGGATCAACCCTTACTCGTCGCTACTACTAGTTAGTAGAGGTTAGTTGAGGAAAAATTTAAATTTATAATTTGCCGCGTCGCGACGCGCGGTCACTTGCCATATTTAGAGTGCTAAAAAATTAATTATTGATTAATCATCTGTTCTACCACTGTCCAATTCGATTAGCAAACTACTGAATCAATAATAACTACGCCAAAGTACGCTCTTTCTCTCTACGCCCTAAATCTCCAAATCCATCGACCCGTAACCCTCGTCTTCATCACCGTTAGGTGCCTCTCTCAGCGGCAGTCCGGCTCGCCGGTGGACAGCTCTCCGCCGCTTGTCCATGCCTCTGTTCGCGGTACCCTTTTCCATTGTCTCAGACCGAGGGGTGCATTCGGTGGTCTTCGGCAGATTTCTCTGATTTGTGCTCGAAGCCCGTTGGTGTTCCTGAGTGGTGAGGATGGGTGGGGTGCGGTGCCAGAGATTGGTCTCGGCTCGGGTCGCTTGCATAGTCCTAGTTCGGGCGACTCCTCTGGTCGGCTTTTGCAGCTGGCCTCGTCTCCAGATATGTTGTTCTTGTCGGTGCCTTTCTGCGATCTCTGGCGCTGGCACTTTGGATCGACAGTGGATTTGGGCCGAGGTTCGTTGTTGAGGGGTTGGGAGGGAAGCTCGGGTTCGATCTGGCTGTGGCAGAGTGACCGGTGCTTGATGTTGTTCGTGTTCCCTTCTTCCCTGTTCTCTGGTGTTCAGTCCAGGGAAGGACCAGTCTTACCGGAACTGGCTAGTGGTGTTAGCCGATTTGGGAACGATGGTGGGTTTGGGACGTTCGTGGTAGTTTTTAGTTGGAGAGCGGGTCGATTTTTGGATTGATTCAAAGCTTGAGTCTTCGTCTTTGTTAGGCATTCATCATTTGCCGGCGTGGTTCTTGTGCCTCAGATCTCTTCTAAGAGTCATCTTTTGTCATCTGGTTCATGTCGGGCGTTCTGCTGAGGGTGGCTTTCGTTTTATGTTTTGTTTTGTTTTGTTTCTTGTTATTCGTGTAGTGTTTGTTATGTTTGTTTAGTTTTTCTGTTTGGTAGGACTGCATTTTTTGTTTGGGCTTTCGGTCTCTGTCTTCCCCTGAGTGAGTGTTTTATTATCTTTTTGTGATCGATTCTCACTCGAGTATTATCTTGTCGGGATCCTTTACTTTCGTGTTTTCTTGTGATTCTAGTGTTGCTAGGTCCGGCTTTTAGGAGACCTTCGGGTCTGCTTCCAGTTTATTCAGCCGTTAGTTGTACCTTTCAGCATTTGACTGGTTTTTTTTCGCACTTTGTGCTTTTTATAAAATCTTAATCGTTCCAAAATAAAAAAAAAAAACAGTGAGCCATTCAAGAGTAGTGGTGAGCGTGGGTCGGTACGTTTCGGAGATTGATAAATCTTCAGAACCGTACCAAACTTCAGAGATCCCAATTTCGATCTCCAGAACTGTACCAAAAGGTCGGTTCAGTTTGGTTCGGAGATTTTTATTTTCGGTTTGGTTCGGTTCGATATTCAGGACTATTGGGACGGTTCGGTTCGGTTCGGTATTCGGGACAATTGGGACGGTTCGGTTCTGTATGATTTGGTTCGGATCTTCGGAGATTTTTTATTTTTTTAAATTATTTTTGAATGACTACCTAGTTATATTTTAATTTTTATATGTTTTAAAAAAACAACATTCATCAATAATTCATCACATTGAAGATTTTATTTTGAAATCAATTCTAGAAGTAACTCTTATTTTTAGTTATTTAATTTTATATGCGTTAATAAAACCAACATTTATCAGTACTTCATCACATTAAAGATTTTATTTGAAATCAAATTATTAAGTAACTCTAAATTTTAGTTATAACTAAATTTGTGCAACTAATATTGAAAATTTAAAATTCAAATCAAATATAATATTTTTTTCTTAAAAAAGTATTTTTTAAAATTTCATATTATTTTAAATAATTATTTTATAATAGAAAATTGAGTATTACTAAGCATGAAATTTAAGTGAAGTTTAATATTTATTACTATATTATATAGAATCAAAGTCGACATAAAATATATTAATAACACATCTAATATTATAATTCGGTTCTTAATTTCGGTTTTCGGTTCGGTACAGTACGAGACGGTTCGATTCGGTTCTCGATACGGATATTTGTGAAATCTCCAGAACTGTACCAAAAGGTCGGTTCAGTTCGGTTCGGAGATTTTTATTTTCGGTTCGGTTTGGTCAATATTCGGGACTATTGGGATGGTTCGGTTCGGTTCGGTATTCGGGACTATTGGGACGGTTCGGTTCGGTATGGTTTGGTTCGGATCTTCAGAGATTTTTTATTTTTTTAAATTATTTTTGAATGACTACCTAGTTATATTTTAATTTTTATATGTTTTAAAAAAACAACATTCATCAATAATTCATCACATTGAAGATTTTATTTTGAAATCAATTCTAGAAGTAACTCTAAATTTTAGTTATTTAATTTTATATGTGTTAGTAAAACCAACATTCATCAGTACTTCATCACATTAAAGATTTTATTTGAAATCAAATTTTTAAGTAACTCTAAATTTTAGTTATAACTAAATTTGTGCAACTAATATTGCAAATTTAAAATTCAAATCAAATATAATATTTTTTTCTTAAAAAAATATATTATTTTAAATAATTATTTTATAATAGAAAAAATTCAATTGTAGATTGAGTATTACGTACTAAGCATAAAATTTAAGTGAAGTTTAATATTTATTACTATATTATATAGAATCAAAGTCGACATAAAATATATTAATAACACATCTAATGTTATAATTCGTTTCTTAATTTCGGTTTTCGGTTCGGTACAGTACGAGACGGTTCGATTTGGTTCTCGGTACGGATATTTGTGAAATCTCCAGAACCGTACCAATTATTTTTTCGGTTTAGTTCGGTTCGGAGAAAGTCAAACAGTGAACGATTATTTTTTGGTTCGGAGTGATTTCGGTTCAGTTTTCGAGACGGTTCGAAATTCTCCGAGTCCCATGCGCAACCCTATTCAAGAGTGACTTAACCGGTTTGGTACAAGAACCGTCCGAGTAGGTAACGTAACAATGGGTTGAAATTCAAACTTCGATGTTGTTTGCAGTACGTGGAAGCAAAAGAGACCATATAGTGCTGTGGTGCTGCCACGTAAACTGCCACGTTGCCCCTCCACTGTCCTCATCACCATCCCCTCCCTCAATCTGCTTATATATTTTAGCCACAATCATATTCGTAGTCCCATATCTCAACTTACTAAAAATCAATCTCAATTTTTTTTTTTTTTTTTTTTTTTAAAAAAAAGACAGATAAAATGCCAGGGCTTACCATCGGCGACACTCTCCCTGACCTCGAGCTCGACACCACTCACGGCAAGATCAAACTCCACGACTACGTTGGCGACAGCTTCACAATCATCTTTTCTCATCCAGGTAATTTCCGACAAATGCGACGGCCCTGTTACGGTACCATACCGTTAGGTATTCTAATCGTTAGATCATCTATTTTATTTAACTACATGTGGATCCAACGGTTAAAACATCTGACGAGATGGTACCGTAGTAGGACCGTAGCATTTTCCTGTATATAACTTGCTTTTCTTGAATATTAATCAAACATTTAATGATCCTAACTCTAACTTATGTAGGCGACTTTACGCCCGTGTGCACGACCGAGCTCGGTATGATGGCCGCCTACGCCGACAAGTTTGCCGAGAGAGGAGTGAAGCTCTTGGGGCTCTCGTGCGACGACGTTGAGTCCCACAACGCGTGGATCAAGGACATCGAGGCCTACAACAAGGGCGCCAAGGTCACCTACCCCATCGCGGCCGACCCGAACCGCCACGTCATCGAGCAGCTCAACATGGTCGACCCCGACGAGAAGGATTCCTCCGGCGGCCATGTCCCGTCCCGCGCCCTCCACATCGTGGGCCCTGACAAGAAGGTCAAATTTCTTTTTATCGACTTTTGTATTTAAAAAAAAATACTCCACTAATTAATGAATTGATTGGTGTAGATAAAGCTGAGCTTTTTTTACCCGGCGAGCACGGGGCGCAACATGGATGAAGTGGTGAGGGTGCTGGACTCCCTGCAGAGGGCGTGCAAGCACAAGATAGCTACTCCGGCCAACTGGAAGCCAGGGGACAAAGTGGTAATTTCGCCGAGCGTGTCGAGCGACGAGGCCAAGAGCATGTTCCCACAGGGCTACGAGTCGGCGGACCTGCCGTCAAAAAAGGACTACCTGCGCTTCACCAATGTTGGCTAAGATCATGAATTCATGATCACTCGTATTACGTAAATAAATATATAGATGTGTGTGTAGTTGTGTGCGATGTATACAATGTTGCGTAATTAGAGACTATAATAATGGATGTTTGTGACTTTTGTATCGGTTAGACCTTTTAACCGTTGCCAAAAATGCAAAATTTGCAGTAAAAGTCTTCCATTAAGAGTAAAATTCTTCCATTAGAACAAGAAATCTGAACGCGCAAAACGGGTTTTGTGGGTTTACTCTAAAAAAAATTTCTCCAATAGAACTGAAAATCTAAACGGGTTTTAGGGAAAAATTCAAAACTTTTCCGGGGGGAAAAATTTTAAAATAGTAGCACATCTTAGATTTAGGGGAAAATTTAAAATAGTCACATATTGAGGGGGTGTCATTAGTCTCCCTTAGATTTAGAACATTACTATTCACCGTTCCTTTATTACTAGTCATCGTCTCATTTGGATGATTTTGCCCTTCTCATTTGCACGATGTCAAGCAGTTCTGAGGTATGTCTTTTTGTCCCGCCCGAAAAAATGTCCGGACCAGGCTGTGTCCAGCCGAAAAAATCGCACGGAACATAAGCTGTACGGCTAGTTCGGCCGGACCTAACTGAGTCTGTACGGTATTACGGGCCGTACGAACCGGTTTGTGCACTAACAGACCGGCCGTACGGCCATCATGCTTTCCGGTCTGGCCGGCCGCACGGGACCGTTCGTGCGGTCCGACCGGCCGGAAATGTGTTTTTTTTTTTTGTTTTAAAACTTTTTAATACATTTATTTAAATAATATAAAATAAAAAATTCTAATAATAATAATATTTATATTAAAAAAAATATTAAAATATATTTATTTGAATATTTCAAAATAAAAAATTCTAATAATAATAATAATTATAATATGAAAGGAAATAAATATGACATTAATAAATTCAAAAAAAATATTAGCATAATAATATTAATAATTATTATTGTAATATATTTATTTGAATATTAAAAATATAAATATTAGCATAATTATATTAATTATTATTATTATTATAATATAAAAGAAAAAATATTATAGTATATTTATTCGACTATTATAAAATAAAAAATTCTAATAATAATAATAATTATAATATAAAAGGAAATAAATGACATTAATAAAGTAAAAAAATATTATAATATATTTATTTTAAATTTTAATATTAAAAACAAAAATATTAGCATAATAATATTAATAATTATTATTATAATATAAAAGAAAACTATTATAGTATATTTATCTGAAGATTAATTATCTATAAAGTGAACGTTAATTAAAAATTAGTATGTTACATGTTTCAATTAATTATTTATATTATAAGTATGTTTTAAAATTATTAAATATGTAATATATTGCAGGTGTCTTTAGAAGATTTTGGAGGAGATGGTATTGATTACCGTTCCACTTTCAATACAACTACGCTGTTTATTAGTGATGAGGAGGCTATTAAGGATGCAAAAAGTACGGCAATTCTGAATGGTTTCTTTTTGACTATTTCGAAGCACAAAAAACCCGGAAGGCTGAAGATCTTGAAGTGCCATCGAGGCGAATGTTATAGAGGCAAAAACGTAGATATGAATAAAGCTGTTTCTAGACATTCAAAAACGAAAGCGTGCCAGTGCCCTTTTGAGATACAAGTAAAGCGTGTTGCCAGATCGACATACTGGATGATCCACATGAGTCAAGACGAAGCGAAGGGATACCATAATCATTCTTGCTGTGTATCCTGAGGGCCATCGACAGTCGAGCGGCATAAGCCAGTCATCAAAGAAAATTATTCGTGATATGACTGCTGCGCATGTGACACCAACAAATATTTTGGCCGCCGTCCAGGAAAAAAATCCACACGACCATGCTAATCGGCGACATATATATAACTATAGAGACTGGTTGCGTAAGGAAAGTTTTGAGGGTAGGGACGTTCCTACCCAACTTCTACATTTGGCTAGCAGCAGCAAGTGTATAGTTTATACAAATGTCGATCCGAATACAAATGCGCTGACACACATATTCATGGCCCATCCTGATTCAGTGAGTCTATTCCGGACTTATTATTGGTTTGTCGGCATAGATTCGACATACAAAACAAACATGTATTTTAAATTTACAGATATGTTATTAGTATTAATTTAAATTTGTATTTTGGATTAAATTTTATGTGATTATAATTTTTTTCTTTTGGTCTCATTTTCACAGGTACAAGATGCCGTTGGTCGAAATGATTGGCATGACGCCGTGCAACAATAACTTTATAATTGCGTATGCCCTCATGAAGGATGAGAAAGAGGCCAGTTATGATTGGATTCTCGACAAGTTGAGACTTCTCATAGGCTGTACGATAAGGATTTATATGAAGTACATGATTAATAATTAGTATATAAAAGTACTTTGTAAAATATGGTAAAACAATTTGAGTTTTTTTTGGCGTGTCTCACTAATTTTCGCCGCTGCTCAGGTGCATCCTAATGCGGTTGTCAGTGACAGAGAGTTGGGCTTATTGACTCCTATTAGGAGGCCTTTTCCCCAATCTGCCCACTTACTCTGCACGTGGCACATCAACAAAAATGTGAAAAACAAAGTGTACAATCTGTTTGGGAAAAATAAAAAATTATCTGAGAGGTTATTGCGCAGTCGGTGGAAGTCGATTATGGATGCTAGTACGCCGGATGAGTACGACGCTGCCGTAGCTCAATTGAGTGCAAAATACGGGAATCGCTCAAAAGTGGTTCAATATCTCGAGCAGACGTGGCTAGGCCACAAGGAGAAGTTTGTGAAAGCCTGGACGAACCAAGTAACACATTTTGGCAACACAACTACCTGTAGGGTGGAAAGTGCCCACTCTGTGTTGAAGAATTGGCTTCACACGTCGACTGACGCGCTAGATTCAGTGTGGCATAAGATTGATAAGGAGATCGAGTCTCAATTGACTGAAATCAGGTACATTACAGCCACCGTGCCTTGTACGAGTACTTCTTTTACAGGGATATCGACACGACACTCGCTCGAATAAGGTGGGACGGGGGCGCTTTTTATTTTTATTATTATTATTTTGCTAATATTTATATTTTATATTTATTTTTCTTTTATATTATAATTATTATTATTCAAATGCTAATATTTTAATTTTATAAGGTGGGACGGGGGCGATTGTGGCACGAATCACTGGATGGACACTCCAAGCGACCTCTACCCTGTTCCAACCCTATTTAATGTGGTTGTCGTTCTTTTAAGCTCTGGTCGCGATGTTCGTATGTCCAACCAGTTCAGCTGCACAGTATTGCCGCTCGCTGCAGCATCAACGAGCACAGGGCCACGCCGTGAGATTTGCATATGTCATCTTGGTAGCTACGCACATTACATTCGGTTAGATTTGACTCCGGATTGTCCATTACCGCCTATTCATAGTATGTGGTTCAGACACCGAACTGCTTCGGTGGAGAATTGGGAGAATCAGTACCAGCCTAGGTTGCAATTATGGTTTGATGCTCAAAATAACCCCTGATGTATGACATATTTTCTTATATTCGATGTTCGGTTTTATGTTGTTGGGAACTTTTACAAGATTATGTTTTTTCATTATATGCTTTCATTTTATTCCTTTTTAAAGAAAAAAAAAGGATGTCGCGAGTAGTCTAATAAAAATAAATAACGCACATCAATCCGCATAATGTTTTACAAAAAAAAAAAAAAACCATCATGTCACACATTTATTTGGAATTGGCGTAATTCAACCTAAGCTTAGTCAATTCGTCTGATAACTGCACCGCCTGCAGAGGATCATGAGCTGTTAAACCCCGCAGAGTCCTCGAGGTAAGGTTGAAAGCACGGTCCATCAACTATAAAACAAAAAAATTGAAGAATAAAAATATATGCTCATTATTTATTAAAATAAAATTTATTCTAATCAAACATTATTAATTAAAAGTTTACGAACGTCTTACATAGTCGGTGTTCCCACGCGTAGGGACCTCTCTCTCGTCAGGCAGATTCTCACCCAAGACAGTAGGATGGGAAACCCGACGGTACCACAACAAGTACTCCGGATCCGCCTCCCCTCGATCATCTGTGGCGACCCTACACATGCTGGTGTTGACAGTCTGCGACATCGGGAACTGGTTCCACATATTTACTGCGCCGAAGGATGCTCAACTTTGTAGAGCCTCGACTGCCAAGCACGGTAATTATAAGTAATGGATCAAACATTTTTTTTTTCATGATTAAATAATTGTTAGTTAATCATTCATGATTATAAAATTCTATTTAGTCATGTATAAAATTCTAATTAATCATCTATACTACCTGCCAAGCACGGTTTACAGCGGTCGGCGTCTGTATAGGGGGAGGGATGGTCTGGACATACCCCAACTGCCGCAGAAACTGTACAGGATAGTACGACTCGACTATATCGCGGTACCGAATCAGTCCGCAATAAAGAGTCCTCTGCTCTATCTCATCTGGCCATGAGCTGCTGTATGGCGTCCATTGCACCTGTTCACAATGGCATAAAAGCATTTATAAGAATATTTATATTATTTTAAATAATGAGTAACTAAATAAAATAACTTAACGTACACTGGAGGCAGTGAGTCTGTCCAGCTTCCGACGGATAGACATGAGACGGTTCTCTGACCTATGATGCGCCCCTGCGTTCCACATCCGAGCTCGTGCGGACTCGTTAGGTCCGAGGGGTAAACGCCCCTCCTGGGGTCAAAAATCAGGGAAATACTCGTAAATCCAAGACTGCAGAAGAGTCAAGCAGCGGGAAAGTTGTTTGGAGCCCCCTCTGCTGGCAATACCTAACTGTCGGTATAAATATGCCAGCGTACCCGACCCCAGGAGTAACCTCCAATGGCATCCAAGCCGTCGAGCACCTCATGTAGGAGCTTCGGACTCACTCTACTACCACTCTTGTCCACGAACAACGTGGTAGCCAGCATCACCCAAATCCAGGCACCAGCTTCATCTGAAGCCAACTT